TTTTTTTTTTTTTTTTTTTTTTAATTAAAACGTTCTTTCTGCACCATTTGCAGGAGAACGGCGCCAGCGTGATCCTCCGTGACATCGCGAGAGCCAGAGCAAACATCCAGAAGTCCCTGGCCGGAGTGAGTACCGCCCTCGTGGCCAACGGCACGCCTGGCGTCCCCCGCACTGCTGATGCCCTCGCCCCTTTGGAGCAGAGTCAGGGTGTGGCGTGCGGCACGGTGTTCCCGCACGGCCAGAGAAGACACCCTTGCTCTCGCATCCTTGCTGGGCTTGCTGGTGGTCACCCGGGACGCCCCGCCTTGCCACGGCTGCTCCTGTGGTACCAGGCCTGAGGCCTTTTCCTTCCTGCTCACTCCCTGCTCCGAGAGTGTGAGGGGCTGGCGCGTGCCGCGCTTCCTTCCTTCCCTCTTAGGCGTGGCCCTCCTCGGAGAGATGGGTTCACAGGGTGTGCTGAGTCCAAGTCATAGAGCCACCACCATCTTGAATTTGAGGCCCAGGAGGGGCCCTGCGGCCCAGCTCGGGCTCCAGGTCCCACGTGAGATCAGGGAGGGGAATGGTCATATCCAGTGTGTCCCCGGCCTGGCCGAGGAGTGTGTCCCTCGGGGTGGCAGCCCTGCTGCTCCACCTTCCTTCTCAGAGGATTGTCTGGGCTACAGAGTGGTGTCCTAGCCTCGAGGGCCAAGTGTCAGCTGTGTTCCTTCTGGAGACTCCAGGAGAGAATCCATTTTCTTGCTTTTTCTACCTTTCAGAAAGCTGCCCACATTCCTTGGCCTATGGCTTCTAGCTAGCAGCGCCACGAACTTTGACATCTATTTCTGTCACGTTTCTTTCTCTCTCCTGCTTCTCTCTTATGTGGACCTTTGCGATGACACTGGGCCCACCTGGGTCATCCAGGGTAACCTCCCCACATCCACATCCTCAACCTCGTCATATCTGTAAAGTCCCTTTTGCCACGTGAGGTCATCTTTTTACAGGGTTTGGGGACGTATTTGGGAACTTTCTGCCTGCCACAGCTGGCTCGGATATACTGGCTCCTGGCCATCAGCTGGGCGGCCCTGGGTGGGTGTCCCCCAGGAAGCGTTGCTACCTCTGTCTGCCCAGCAGGCCCTGCTTTATACTTGGCCCCCACATGCTCCTGCCTTGCCTTCTGCCCATTAGCCCCAAATCCCACCTGTCGCCCTCTGCTTGCCTGAGCAAGTTGAGGCCAGGCAGCCACGGGATCGAGGTGGCACAAGGTTTTTGTACTCAGGCCAGGCATGTCGGGCTCCAGTGCTCAGAAGGCTGCAGCCCGGGGCTCAGCAGCTCTGGGGCTGCGGCCCTGAAGATTCTTAGGCTGTTAGAACTCTTCCCCCCACTGGGCCTCAGGGCCCTGGCTGTTGGGGTCACAGCTTCGGGGTCCCGGTCTTCACAAGGACGTTCAAAGTCCAGGATCAGGGTGTGGGTGGGGTCGGTTTCTCTTTGGTAGAGGGCTGTTTTCTTCCTGTGTTTTCTGTGTCCAAATTTTTTCACATGAGGACACTAGTCATTGGATTAGGACCACCCTAATAATGTCATTGTGACTGATTACCACTGTGAAGACCCCATTTTCAAATAATCTCCCACTTTGAGGCCCTGGCGGCAGGGGCTTCCACGTGAACTTCAGAGGAACATCATTCAGCTGCCAGCGGACCCGGGAAGGGTGCTATGGCCCAGCCCCATGCTTGGATTTGGGTAGAGTGGGGCTCAGCAGACACTGGGATTCCAGAGCTTCCTGGGGACTGCGCGTGGTGCCAGGCACAGGGCTGGAGGCCGGGATGGAGGGTTCTGGATTCAGAACCTTGGTATGGCACCGCCCCCGAGGCCACCAGGTGGCTGCTTGCGGCCTGCTGTTGTGAGCTCAGACTGGACTGGGTGGCCTGGGCCTGCCTCACTGAGCGCCCTGGCTTCCTTCTCAGTCCGTGTGGGCAGGGTGGGCCCAGGGCCTAGACACCGTGGAGTGGCCTGGTGCTTTCTGGGCCCAGCGGTGGTGACCCCATGGCCCCCAACAGCCTGGTCTCTCCCCTGCCACTTTCTCTTGGCCTTGCAGCAGGTGGGACCTCGCCCGCCCGGAGCCTGCATCCTCGGGACCCATCCACAGTTGGTCCTCACTTGGTGGTGGTGCCGGGCCTGTGTCCCCGGGGCCAGGCAGCAGGCACAGCGGGGCAAAGGCTTGAGGCTCCAGCCTGCCTTGAGGCACCGGGACCTGGTTCATTTGCTTAGTGGGCACAGATCAACCGGGAGAGACGGCCTGGCCTTGGGGAAGCCTGCTGAGGGGGGGTGGGGCCTGAGAGTGCAGGTTGGCGGGGGCTGGCGGGGCTTTGTGGGGAACAGCTGGTCCTGGACTTCATCCCTGTGCCATGGAAGCCGTTGGACCTTCTGAGTGGGAATGGTCCCGGGAGCTGAGCCGTGGGAAGTAGGTTGGAGAGGAGATCACGTGCCAGGTGGTGGCGGCTGAGACTCGGCAGGGGTGGTCAGCTGTGGGTGGATGGGGCTGCCATTTAGTAACCAGAGTAGGAGGTTGGGGTGGACACGGGTTGATCTGAGGAGGGCGGTGGCGTGAGCAGAGCCCACTCTGGTCCTGGGGGCTGGTCAGTGCTCCTTCTGCAGCCACGCAGTGCCACTTGGCCAGCTCTGCTGGGAGTTCTGTGTAGTGGGAGCTGGTGGGTCTAGGAGATGGTGTCAGCTTAGCACTGCCCATTGGTCCCAGGGCAGGGAGCCAGGTATGTGTCAGCCTGTCCTCTCTGGAGACCTTCACCTTGGTAGTGCCCTGGGGATGTGCAGACCAGGAGAGGAGGCCACCCCTATGGCTTCCCTATGGCTGCTTGGTGGGTGGGCCCCAGGCCCCAGGTTTTTATCTTGACTGGACATTGGAGGAGGGCAGAAGCCCTCTGGAAAGGGCAAGGTGCACTGTGCACCATCCTTGGAGCCACTGCAGTGGGGTGTAGGGGGTGCTGAATGGCCTGCATGCAGGCCCCTGGGGTGTAACTTGGGCCTGAGCTGTGGCGCCCTGTGGGTGAGCTCCCTGGGCAGTGCTGCCCGGGTCAGATGCCGGGGGCTCCCGGTCAGGGAGGAACCAGAGGAGGCTGGTGGCCAGGCCAGGGTCCCTGGGTCACCCAGAGCTTTCAAAGGCAGGCAGGCGTGGGGCCCTGGCTGCTGCGGGGTGGCTGCCCCCTGCGCTGGCACGCTCCTTCCTCCTGCCCCCAGTGCTGTCCCCTCCTGTTTCCAGCTCAAGGCTGTGTTGCCCGGTCCTCCTGAGCTGCTGGGTTTGGCTGCTCCTGGAGCTGAGTCCTTTGCTTCCTCCCACCCACCAGGCAGTGGCATCCACGGCTCAGCTCTGCGCTGCCGCCACGTTAGGGCCACCCTGGGCTCCTGCTTCCTGTCACGTGCTGGGCTGAGGATGCCACTGTGGCCTCGGGCTCGCAGGGCTTCCTCTCCCCTTGCCGGGGTGGAGCATGGCCGGCGGAGCCCATGGGGCTCGATGGGCTTCTCGTCCAGCTTGGGGCTCTGCCTCACAATGGCTGTGAACGGGGGGCCCCAGGAGCAGGCTGGGGTGTGAGCCCTTCCTCTCCCCCTGCCTTGCAGAGCTCAGGCCCCGGGGCCTCCAGCGGGCCGGGCGGAGACCACAGTGAGCTGGTCATCCGGATTGCCAGCCTGGAGGTGGAGAGCCAGAGCCTGCGAGGGGGTGAGGCCCTGGGCCCGATGGGCGGGGGGCCCCACCCCAGCACTTGCTGCCTGACCAGCATCCCCTTTGCCCCCGCAGTGGTGCAGGATCTGCGGCAGGCTGTCTCCCAGCTGGAGGCCCGGCTGAGCGCTCTAGAGAAGAGCTCGCCAGCCCACCGGGCCACAGCTCCGCAGACCCAGGTGAGGGCCCGTCCCTGCCAGGGACCCACACCCGGCGCTGAGGAGCGGGAGGCCCGGGCGGCACCCATGTGGTCTGTGGCCCCGGCAGCGGTGGCGGGCTGGAGGCCTGGCGTCCTGGCTGCACAGGCCCCAGTCTCCCCTCCTGTGTGGCAGCACGTGTCTCCCATGCGCCAAGTGGAGCCCCCCACCGGGAAGGTGGCCACCGCCACAGAGGACGACGAGGACGACGACATTGGCCTGTTCGGCAGCGACGAGGAGGAGGACCGGGAGGCGGCCCGGCTGCGGGAGGAGAGGCTGCGGCAGCACGCCGAGAAGGCGGCCGCGAAGCCTGCCCTGGTGGCCAGGTCCTCCATCCTCCTGGACGTCAAGCCTGTGAGTGGCTCGTCTCTGACCCTCCCCTCGCGGTGCCCTGTGGCCTGGAGGGGTCGGCGCCGGGCGGGCAGGAGACAGGCTGCGTTGACAGCGGGAGCAGGCTCCGACCCAGCCCTCCTCCCCTCCTCTCCGCAGTGGGATGACGCGACAGACATGGCCCAGCTGGAGGCCTGTGTGCGCTCCATCCAGCTGGATGGGCTGACCTGGGGGGGCTCCAAGCTGGTGCCCGTGGGCTACGGCATCCACAAGCTACAGATCCAGTGTGTGGTGGAGGACGACAAGGTGGGCACGGACCTTCTGGAAGAGGAGATCACCAAGTTCGAGGAGCACGTGAGTGAGGGGGCCCACACAGGGTAGGAGCCTGGGGTGTCCCAAGTGAGCCTCTGGCCAGGCACGTGGGCGCTTGGGCCTTTGGGAAACAGGGCCCCGTGTGACCACCAGCCTCCCTCTCCACAGGTGCAGAGCGTTGACATTGCTGCTTTCAACAAGATCTGAGCCCCAGCACTGGCCTGAGCCTGTGAAGCCTTGCAGCCAATAAAGACTGAGATTCCAGCCCTCTGGCTCCTGTCCTGGTTTGGGCCCTGTGGGTGGGCGCATTCAGTGAGCCGCACTCTGCCAGGCCCCCAGCCTCACACTGGGCGGGCGTCTCACGCTGTGCTCCTGCACCAGTGGCCACTGCCCTTCTCCCCATTCTGGGTCTCTCCACAGCCCTCCTGTGGCCATGTGACCCACCCCTCTGCCTGCCCCTCCTGTTCCCCTGACTCATCTCTCAGTTGCAAGTGGGACGTCCAGGTCTACCTCTAACAGTGTACATTGTTTCCCTCACTGCGGGAGGCGTCCCAGTCTTCCACCATCTCCATTTTGCTTCCTTTCGCTGAGCTGTCCCCATGGGTACAAAAGTGCTAGTCCAGAACTATCCAGGGAAGAGGTCCTAGGGCTGTCCTGGCCCTGCTGTTGTGACTAGTCACGTGCCCCATCGGGTCTGACCTGTTCAAAACCCTGCCGGGTATCCGACCGCCCGCTTCTAGGAAGGCGGCTAGACTATTTCCCTTAGCCCTGAGGCCCCTGCTGCCTGCTGGAGACCTGGGCCCTAGACAGATCGCACGACACACTGCCCTGTGGAGTTGTGACCACTGTCCTGCCTGGGCCCCCAACCCCCCTCCCCAGTCTGGGCAGGACTTGTGTCACTAGTGGTTCTTCCCCTGGACCCAGCGTGGCTGGTGAGAAAGAGTGGGTTGTGGTTACTCTGGTCAGAGCTGGTGGCCTCCAAGGGCCCGCAGGAGTCATGTGGGGTTTAGCGTGCAAGACCCGAGAGCCTTCGGTGCCAGCTGGCGGTGGAGGAGCGGCCCCCTCGTTCTGTCGGCACCACCCTGCTACCCGAACGGCATGGCGTGGGCCTTGCCCCGGTGTGGTGCCGGCCGCGAGCTGCCCTCCCCCGGCCTGGGGTGGCTTCTGGGCGGGCGAGGATGGAGTCCAGCTGGACGTGGAGTTCGAATTGCCCTCTTCCACCCTCTCCCCGCGCTGCCCGGACTTGGCCGCGCGGCCTGGGGCAGGACAGACCATGCTCCAAGCGGCCAGGGGGGAGCTGGGCTGACCAGCGAGAGCACAAGTGCCCACCTCGAGCCACGGTCCGGCTGCTGGGACCGCTAAGAGAGCGTCCGGAGGCCAGCGGCCCGCCCTGACGGTTCTGGTTGCCAGGAAAGGCAGTGGCTCCACGGTGTCCCAACCCGCTGGCGGGGCGGGCCCTGGCCAGCGCGGCGTCACGCGGGCGGGGCGGCCAGAGTCCGGGGCGCCAGGGCAGCGGCCAGAGTCCGATGGCAGCGGAGCAGGACCCCGAGGGGCGCGCGGCGGCGCGACCGCTGCTCACCGACCTGTACCAGGCCACCATGGCGCTGGGCTACTGGCGCGCCGGCCGGGCGCAGGAGGCGGCCGAGTTCGAGCTTTTCTTCCGCCGCTGCCCGTTCGGCGGAGCCTTCGCCCTGGCCGCGGGGCTGCGCGACTGCGTGCGTTTCGTGCGCGCCTTCCGCCTGACGGACGCAGGTAGCCGCCCCCCGCCCCCCGCTCGGCGGCCCCCGGGCCCGGCCGCCCCGGCGAGCCCTCGCCACCACGGCCTCTGTCGCCCCCAGACGTGCAGTTCCTGGCCTCGGTGCTGCCCCCAGACACAGACCCCGCGTTCTTCCAGCATCTTCGTGCCCTCGACTGCTCCGGGGTGACGGTGCGGGCCCTGCCCGAGGGCTCGCTCGCCTTCCCCAGCGTGAGTGCGGGGGGAGCGGGGCACGGGGGCTGGGCCAGAGCAGGGCCGGGTGGCGCCGAGCTGACAGCCCGCCCCGCAGGTGCCGCTGCTGCAGGTGTCCGGGCCGCTCCTGGTGGTGCAGCTGCTGGAGACGCCGCTCCTCTGCCTGGTCAGCTACGCCAGGTGGGGCCTGGGGCGGGACACCCGCCTCCCGCCCGAGGCCGGAAGCCTGGGCTCTCCGGGAAGGAGCGCTGACTTCCGGGCCCAGACCCGTGGGGCGTGGCCCCTGGGGGCGGAGCGCTGAGCCGGGGTCCTGGCAGGGGGCCTCCGGCTCCCGCTGCTCGGGCTCTTGGGAGAGGCCGCGTTCTGGGTGGCTTCCCGGCCGTCACTGCGGGTCCCCTGCCCCCTTGCTCCCGCAGCCTCGTCGCCACGAACGCCGCGCGGCTTCGCCTGGTCGCAGGGCCGGAGAAGCGGCTGCTGGAGCTGGGGCTTCGGCGGGCTCAGGGCCCCGACGGGGGTCTGACCGCCTCTACCTACAGCTACCTGGGCGGTGAGGGCCAGGAGACGGAGGCCCGGTTTGGGGGAGGAGGAGGCCAGCCCTGAGACCCCCTTCAGTGCCTGAAGTCCCCCAACTGCCTGATGCCCTGACCCAGGCTTCGATGGCAGCAGCAACATGCTCGCAGGACAGCTGCGGGGCGTGCCGGTGGCCGGGACCCTGGCGCACTCCTTCATCACCTCCTTTTCAGGCACCGAGGTGCCCCCTGACCCGGTCAGTACCCCTGTCCCCCCAGCTGGACTCCAGAGGGCAGACCCCCAAGCCGAGCCCTTCCCGGGGAGCACGAGAGGCCAGTCCCTGCTCTGCGCACAGGCAGATACCACGCCTGGCCCACCCAAGCCACGCCGGGCAGGTGGTCTCAGTGCGGCACTGGGAAGCTGGCAGGCAGGTGGCTCAGCCTCTCTGCTGGGGTCGAACCAGTCCCCACCCTGCGCTCTGGGGCCTCCATCCTTCACCAACCCTTCTCCATAGATGTTGGCTCCAGCGGCTGGTCAGGGCCCCAGGGTGGACCTGGCCGCCTGCGTGGAGACGTGGCTGGAGCGTGTGTGTGGCCACCTGGGGCTGGGGGTGCAGGAGCCACACCGGGGTGAGCGGGCGGCCTTTGTGGCCTACGCCCTGGCCTTTCCCCGGGCCTTCCAGGGCCTGCTGGACACCTACAGTGTGCGGAGGTGAGGCCCGGGCACCCCCCAGGGTGGGCTCAGCAGAGCAACAGCAGACCCCCTACCCCCATGTCCCCACCTGCAGGAGTGGTCTCCCCAACTTCCTGGCTGTAGCCCTGGCACTGGAGGAGCTGGGCTACCAGGCAGTGGGAGTGAGGCTGGACAGTGGCGACCTGCTTCAGCAGGCTCAGGAGACACGTGGCGTCTTCCGAACAGTGGCAGCCCAGTGAGTCCCCCTGGGAGGGGCTTTGCCTTCTGAAAGATCTCCTCGGGTTCATTGGGATGGGACAGAGGGAGAGAGGGACCGTGCCTCTCCCACCGTGAGGCCCTCTGACGTGCTGCTATCTCAGTAGAGGCACTGGAGCCTCGGCAAGGAAGCTGGGGTGGGCTCGCTCAGGGGCCCATAGGCACAGAGGCCAGAGCCAGTGTGGCTGAGGGCAGATTATCAGGTGGCGGGGAGACGGCATGACTGGGTTGGGAGGGGGCCGAGTGAGTCAGGAACGTCTGAGGGCTGCCCCCGTCACAGGTTCCGGGTGCCCTGGCTGGAGTCCATCCCCATTGCTGTCAGCAACAACATTGATGAGCAGGAGCTGGCCAGGCTGTCCCAGAAGGTAGGCGGGGCAGGGGCAGCCCAGAGGGTGGCTCGGGGGGCCCTGGGCCTGCAGATGCTGGCCGAGCTCATTTCCCCCTCCCCCCCAGGGCAGTGAGGTGAACGTCATCGGCATCGGTACTAGCGTGGTCACCTGCCCTCGCCAGCCTTCCCTGGGCTGTGTCTACAAGGTGGAGACAGAGTCCGGGGCCCAGTGGGGATGGGCTGGGGATGGACCATGGGTCCGGGGAGAAGGGTCCAGCTAGCTCAGCACCCTGTCCCTGTAGCTGGTGTCCGTGGGAGGCCAGCCGCGGATGAAGCTGACCGAGGACCCCGAGAAGCAGACATTGCCTGGAAGCAAGGCTGCTTTCCGGCTCCTGGGCTCCGATGGTGAGGCCCCTCCCACCCTCCGCAGTTCAGCTCAAGGCCCCAGGCCCCGCGCATGTTTGGCGCCCTCACATGCGGACCCACACAGGGGCTCTGCTGTTAGACGTGCTGCAGTTAGCAGAGGAGCCACCTCCCCAGGCTGGCCAGGAGCTCAGAGTCTGGCCTCGAGGGACCCAGGAGTCCTGTACCGTGAGGCCGGCGCATGTGGAGCCGCTGCTGCGACTCTGGGTCCAGCAGGGACAGGTGACCGCCCCTAGCCACCCACCCCCTTAGCCTGCACCTTCAACTCAAATCAAGCTCGGACACCTGACCTCGAGCCAGCCCCTTCCTCCCTCTTCCCCTCAGCTGTGTGAGCCCCTCCCATCTTTGGCCGAATCTAGAGCCTTCGCCCAGCAGTCCCTGAGCCGTCTGAGTCCTGCCCACAGGTGGCTTGAGCAGCCTGCACTGTACCAGGTGGGTGTAGGGCCCACATCATCAACCCGCCCTGTGCCCTCTCTCCCCCCACAGCCACCCATAATCCCCCCCTCTCCTCCCTGCAGGTGGCACTGTCTGAGAAGCTCCGGGCCCTGGTGGACAGACTGAGTGCCAGAGGTGCCCTCTGAGAATCCCCTGCTGGAAGCTGCCTGAAATTAACATGAGTCACTCACGGTCCCCACAGCTTGTCATGTGTCATTTCTTCGCCCAGCCTGCCACTCACTGGACCCCCAGGGCTTCCCAGGGTGGGCTGGAGTCAGGAATCAGCATGAGGGTTCATCCTCCCCGGGAAGACCCCGGCCCAGCCGGGGCAGGTAGGCAGCCCCGTGCTGAGGCCTGAGGTCGGCTAAGGGCGGGGGGGGGGGGGTCGGTATCTGAGGCCTGGGGAGCTGGACTGTAGGAGCAGATCCGGGGCAGGACAGGGCAGGGCTGTGGGTAAAGGGAGGGGGCTTTGGTGCCCAACTAGGAGCTGGGGGGGGTGGTTACTGGAAGACCTCTCCGTGCTAGAGGCCCGAGGCGGGCTGGGGATGAAGTGCCAGATGGAGGGGCTCCGGGATCCGCCCCCCGGGCGGGGCAGGCTGGGTGGCACACCTCAAGCTTCCCCAGCCAAGGAGAGGCCTGGGTGTCCCCTGCCACTGCTGCTGCCAGCTCTGCGGGACCCTGTACCCCTGGGCTCCGCCCATCTGGCTCCCTGTCGGCCCTGGCATCTGTCACGGCACGGACTAGGCCTGGGCCGTGGGGACCCAGCTCCTGCCCCTGCAGTCCTGGGAAAGGAGAGGAGGGCTCGGGGCCCGCCTGCACTAGAGCTGCTGAAGGTGAGGGAGCAGGGACTGGCTCGGCTCTGGGCACCTGGCCAGGGGCCTGGGCTGGCCCTGCCTCTGTGTGGGCAGGCTCGTCAGGTCTCCACCGGCTTTGGCTCCGGAGGAGCCACTCAGGAGAGAGGTTTGAGGCCCTGCAGGACAGAGGGCGGGGCCTGGGCCTCTCCCGCCTGGGTGGGGGACACAAGCAGGCCAGGGCGTGGGGGAATGCTTCTGCCTGCGCAGCTATTTGGCCAGACCAGCTCTTCTGGCTCCCCCGGCCCAGGCTGGGCAGTGGCCGCTGTGCTGCTGGGTGAGGGTGACAGCGGGGATTTGGGGCAGAGGCCCGGTCAGGCCAGCCCTGGGGAGCAGGAGGCTTGGAGAGAGACACAGACTCCGCCCGCCGCCACCACACACACATCAGGACACGCACCAGGCCCCAGGTACCCACAGGTCACCACTTCTGAGCTTTGCGAAGTGCCAGAACCCAGACAC